TATGGATGACATTTTAACCTGAGTTGACAGTTAAGAGCGCCTTCTACAAGGCCAGTAGTCAGGTGCTAGGAGGAAGACTGGGTCAGGTGACAGTGAAGCTGCAGGTGAGTATAAGGTTTCTGGACTGAGTGTACAATGAGGTGCCGACTAAATGAATAATACATGTTAAGCGCTAAATCCACATGACTTAGTGGAGGATTGATCTTCCGTCTGTTGAAAGCGGGACACACGTGTTTCCTACCTGTACTCACCTGTATCAGTGAGGTGCTGAAAATGAAGCAGGTGAGGGGAACGCAGGTGACAGGCGGCAAGTCAGGGGATGTGAGCAACAGGAGAACTGTAGATAAATGGTTCTCTGACAAATTGATAAATTAGACACATGTGTAACTCTTGGGTATCATTATTGCGGAAAGTTTCGCCACACAGTGGCTTCCTCGGTCCAATAGAAAGAAGAATGGTGAAGATCAGAATAAGTCTGAGGTAATCAATCACTCGGCTAAGAGTCGACTCCAGGCTGAGGGACTCATTATTTCGGACTCCTTTTGATCGTCACGATTCTTCCTTATATAGGACTGATGAAGCCACTCTGTGGCGAAACGATTCCTTAATAGAGATACTCAGATGTTGTACATGTGTCTGATTTATCAACCAGCACATGTTCCTGGAACATGATGTTCCAGAGTGGTGTTGGGTCAGGGGCTTTGCTATAATGGACGTTTACTGGGGATAAATGGTATAAAATACCGACGCGATGGAAAAATAAACACAAATGCAGAATAATGTAGTATAATAGTGCCCCGTGGCGTGGTGGCACAAGCTCTCGCTTCACACGGTAAGTGTCCGGGTTCGATTCCCAGCACAGGTACAAACATTTGGCGTGTTTCCTTACACAATAGAGCGAAAAACATATTTGAAGAACCTGGGAGTGATAATGTCAGAGGATCTCGCCTTCAAAGACCATAACAATGTATCTACCTCATCCGCTAGGAAAATGATAGGATGGATAACTAGGGACGCCAAGCCCATGATGATTCTCTTCAAATTGCCTGTGCTCTCTAGGCTGGAATACTACTGTACACTAACGGCCCCTTCAAGGCTGGCAATATTGCAGACCTGGAGAGTGTACAAAGAACTTTCACGGCACACATAAGTACGATAAGGCACCTAAATTACTGGGAACGGTTGAAGGTCCTTGATCTGTATTCCCTGGAACGCAGGCGAGAGAGATACATGATAATATACACTTGGAAGGTCCTGGAGGGATTGGTACCAAACCTGCACACGAAAATCACTCCATATGACAGCAAAAGACTCGGCAGGAGATGCAACATTCCCCCGATGAAAAGCAAGGGCGCCACGAGTACACTGAGAGACAACACAATAAGTGTCCGGGGCCCAAGACTGTTCAATTGCCTCCCAGCATACATAAGGGGGATTACCAATAGACCCCTGGCTGTCTTTTAAGAAGGCACTGGACAGGCACCTAAAGTCAGTACCTGACCAACCGGGCTGTGGTTCGTACTTCAGCTTTCGTGCGGCTAGCAGTAACAACCTGGTTGATCAGAGGCTGATGTACCATGAGGCCTGGTCTCAGACCAGGCCGCGGGGGCGTTGACCCCCCAAAGCCCTCTCCAGGTATACTCCAGGTAAACCTTTTGTCTATATTCACCCATCAGTAAAATGGGTACCTGCGTGTTAATCGACTGATGTGGGTCGCATCCTGGGACAAAACTGACCTAATTTGCGGGAAATGCTCAACATAACAAGCGGCTTTCTATATAGTAGTATGTCATTGATGTCAGCTAGGACTGTATACCTTGTACATGTACTTGTAGAAATATATTATTATTATTATACTTTATTGGCAACGTTTCGCTCACACAGTGGGCTTTATCAAGTCACAAACAGATTTACCTGGGTAGATCTATAAATACTTGAGTATTTATAGGATGGAGAATGTTGGGTAGGTTGTATTTAAACCGGACCTGCATGGGACCTGCATGGGACCTGCAGGTCCTATAAATACTCATGAACTATTCACCCAGGTAGATCTGCTTGTGGATTGATAAAACCCAGTGGGCGAAACGTTGTTAATGAAGGATCGCATTATGCCGCATTTGTGTTTATTGTTCCAAGGTCTTGTGGCTCCTGAAACTAACATGGGGAGACTAACATGGGGAGACTAACATGGGGAGACTAACATGGGGAGACTAACATGGGGAGACTAACATGGAGAGACTAACATGGGGAGACTAACATGGGGAGACTAACATGGAGAGACTAACATGGGGAGACTAACATGGGGAGACTAACATGGAGAGACTAACATGGGGAGACTAACATGGGGAGACTAACATGGAGAGACTAACATGGGGAGACTAACATGGGGAGACTAACATGGGGAGACTAACATGGGGAGACTAACATGGGGAGACTAACATGGGGAGGCACGAACGAGTCTCCTGCTACTGCTGCCACTCTCACATACGATTACCTTGCTTTTCTCTAATTCATTTTAACATTGTTTTACATGCATATCTGGAGTGGTAATCACAGTTACACAAGACCTCGGACAAGTTAACACGGAGGTGTAACTTCGAACAAGTTAACACGGAGGTGTAACTTCGGACAAGTTAACACGGAGGTGTAACTTCGAACAAGTTAACACGGAGGTGTAACTTCGAACAAGTTAACACGGAGGTGTAATTCGGACAAGTTAACACGGAGGTGTAATTTTGAACAAGTTAACACGGGGGTTTTAAATTCGGACAAGTTAAAACGGAGATGTAAAATTCGGACAAGTTAACACGGAGGTGTAACTTCGAACAAGTTAACACGGAGGTGTAACTTCGGACAAGTTAACACGGAGATGTAACTTCGGACAAGTTAACACGGAGGTGTAACTTCGGACAAGTTAACACGGAGGTGTAACTTCGAACAAGTTAACACGGAGGTGTAACTTCGGACAAGTTAACACGGAGATGTAACTTCGGACAAGTTAACACGGAGGTGTAACTTCGAACAAGTTAACACGGAGGTGTAACTTCGGACAAGTTAACACGGAGGTGTAACTTCGAACAAGTTAACACGGAGGTGTAACTTCGGACAAGTTAACACGGAGATGTAACTTCGGACAAGTTAACACGGAGGTGTAACTTCGAACAAGTTAACACGGAGGTGTAACTTCGGACAAGTTAACACGGAGGTGTAACTTCGAACAAGTTAACACGGAGGTGTAACTTCGGACAAGTTAACACGGAGGTGTAACTTCGAACAAGTTAACACGGAGGTGTAACTTCGGACAAGTTACCACGGAGGTGTAACTTCGAACAAGTTAACACGGAGGTGTAACTTCGGACAAGTTAAAAACGGAGGTGTAACTTCGGACAAGTTAACACGGAGGTGTAACTTCGAACAAGTTAACACGGAGGTGTAACTTCGGACAAGTTAACACGGAGGTGTAACTTCGAACAAGTTTACCACGGAGGTGTAACTTCGGACAAGTTACCACGGAGGTGTTAACTTCGAAAAAAGTTAACACGGAGGTGTAACTTCGGACAAGTTAACACGGAGGTGTAACTTCGGACAAGTTAACACGGAGGTGTAACTTCGAACAAGTTAACACGGAGGTGTAACTTCGGACAAGTTAACACGGAGGTGTAACTTCGGACAAGTTACCACGGAGGTGTAACTTCGAACAAGTTAACACGGAGGTGTAACTTCGGACAAGTTAACACGGAGGTGTAACTTCGGACAAGTTAACACGGAGGTGTAACTTCGAACAAGTTAACACGGAGGTGTAACTTCGGACAAGTTACCACGGAGGTGTAACTTCGAACAAGTTAACAAAGGAGGTGTAACTTCGGACAAGTTAACCCCGGAGGTGTAACTTCGGACAAGTTAACACGGAGGTGTAACTTCGAACAAGTTAACACGGAGGTGTAACTTCGGACAAGTTAACACGGAGGTGTAACTTCGAACAAGTTAACACGGAGGTGTAACTTCGGACAAGTTAACACGGAGGTGTAACTTCGAACAAGTTAACACGGAGGTGTAACTTCGAACAAGTTAACACGGAGGTGTAACTTCGAAAAGTTAAACACGGAGGTGTAATTCGGACAAGTTAACACGGAGGTGTAACTTCGAACAAGTTAACACGGAGGTGTAACTTCGGGACAAGTTAACACGGAGGTGTAACTTCGGAAAAAGTTACCACGGAGGTTGTAACTTCGGACAAGTTACCACGGAGGTGTAACTTCGAACAAGTTAACAGGAGGTGTAACTTTTGGACAAGTTAACACGGAGGTTTTAACTTCGAACAAGTTAACACGGAGGGGGTAACTTCGAACAAGTTAACACGGAGGTGTAACTTCGAACAAGTTAACACGGAGGTGTAACTTCGGACAAGTTAACACGGAGGTGTAACTTCGGACAAGTTACCACGGAGGTGTAACTTCGGACAAGTTACCACGGAGGTGTAACTTCGGACAAGTTACCAACGGAGGTTTTAACTTCGGGGCAAGTTTTCCACGGAGGTGTAACCTATATTCTTCCCACCTACTGTATCTTCACCACTCACCCTGCAGTTCAGATTCCTTATATTCGCCTGTCACCTGACCCATCCTCATTGGAGGACCTATATTTTGGGGGCCCTGAAGCTTGAACTGCTATGGGGGGCCCCTTCGCAACCCCTTCTCAAGCAATATGGAATAAATTTGCTTCTGGGGCCCCTCCGGGCTTAGGGACCTGAAGTTTAGGCTTCATTTCATAGTAGATTCGCCCCTGCCTTAGATTCTATAATGAAAAAGTATCTAGTTCTCTTTGAAACAAAAGGCTCTCATTGAGCGAAACATCGTTTTTGTAATACAGGCTTTCTGTCCACTTATCAATTTTAACTTGCTATGTTTCAACTTACAATCCTTCTTCATGTCTTCAAATATTTTATTTTTTTTAACAGATATCTGTTCATTCTGGTAATCTCTTGAACACATTTTTTAAAGGAGGAGGATGAAGGTGTTTTTACCATAGAGATGAACGACTCGTCTGCCGTTCATCAACTGGCTCGTGTTGTTATCAACTCTTCTGCCACAGGTAAATATTAAAATAATATAATAATCTTTATTTACTACAAGTACATGTACAAGGTATACAGTCCTAACTGACATCAATGACATACTACTATATAGAAAGCGGCTTGTTATGCTGAGCATTTCCGGCAAATTAGGTCAGTTTTGTTCCAGAATGCGACCCACACCAGTCCACTAACACCCTGGTATCAATATTACTGATTGATCAGTTGACTGGCACCTGCTGTGTGTCTGCTCACCTATTTGTGGTTAGAGGGATCGAGTCATAGCTCCTGGCCCCGCCTCTTCACTGATCGCTACTAGGTCCTCTCTCTCCCTGCTCAATGAGCTTTATCACACCTGTTCTTAAACCTCTGTATGGATCCTGCCTCCACTACATTACTCTCCAGATTATTCCACTCTTCCTGTGTGTTTGAGTGTGAGTGATGTTATTTCCCTTGAGTAAAACACATCAACGCTAAAAGTTTCAAGCTGACCGGAAGATGCATTCTCCAGGTACTAAACAGAATCCATTCAAACTTCTCCCTACACAACCTAAACCAGTGGAAACATCCATCCATCTCACACGACGTTGAAGATTGATGCCCTTCACAGATGTTATGTTTTAATAAGAGGAGAGCGCTAAACTCGTATAGGTCATATAGTGCCTGTGCAATGAGAAGTAATCATATTTGATCCAAGGGGAAGATAAGACCTGTTTCTTGGTTCGGAGACCGTCTCCAGCGTCAAGGCAAAATAATGCAATATGGTAATATTACTATATATATATAATATATATATATATATTATATATATATATATATATATATATATATATATATAATATATATATATATATATATATATATATATATATATATATATATATATATATGTCGTGCCGAATAGCAGAACTTGCGATCTTGGCTTAAATAGCAACGCTCATCTTGCCATATAAGACAAGCGGAAATTTGTGTATGCAATAATTTTGCCAAAATCATTCTGAACCTAACGAAAAAAATATATTTCACTGTGTTTGTTTAGTATTAAATTATTGTAAACAAATCTAAAACATATTTAGTTTGGGTTAGGCTAAAATAAATTGTTCTTGTTATAATAAGGTTAGGTAAGTTTTCTAAGATTCTTTTGGTGCAAAATTATAATTTTTTGCATTAACATTAATGAAAAAAATATGTCTTTAAACGTATAAAAGAAAATTTTAGAAAGGACTTAATTTTAAATGAGTTCTTGCTAATTGACCAGTTTTACATATTCGGCACGACATTATATATATATATATATATTATATATATATATATATATATATATTATATATATATATATATAATATATATACGCAAAACAACCACTCTGAAAGAATAGAGAAATTCCAAGCGCTTTCGTGACTACTCACATTATCAAGGAACTATGAAAGTGAAGCATCCAAGGAAGCTATATAAGGGGTCCGGCCAGCACCTCACTATCAGATCCCACAACGGTTAAACACGTGACGCGCGGCGAGCCAACTTGGATAGGTCCTTTGCAAAACTCACCCCCAAGCTATTTATTTGTCAAGTGTATTATTAAATTCTACCCAAATTCTATTAATTATAAATGGATCTAATTTATATAAACCAAAGGAAATATTCATATTATTGTCAAAACTGCTTTTTATGAAACAAGATTCAATTATATTCCTGTCGACCATGGACTTGCTTGATACTACTTTCTCAACTTTTTGAAAATCAATTGGATGGTTAAAATCTCTTACATGAATAAATAGAGCATTGGAATCTTGTCCAGTTCTAATGCTATATTTTGTTTTTTTTTAATCTTTTTTCGAGTTTTTTTACCAGTTTGACCGTATAAATTTTCGCAAATTTTAAAAGGGAATCTTATAGACACATCCATCAGCTTTTTTTTGGGGGAATCTTAATCAAAAAGTTTTTTTACTGAAAAAAGTTTTGGAATACAACTTTAATAAAAAAAGTCTTAAGAAGAAAGCATACAACCAAGTTTTATGTAAGGGAAAACCCAAACATATTTTTAGTTGAATAAGGCGGGTTCCTTTTTTTTGGATTATAAAAAGTGTTCTACAATTTAAAAGATTTATCAATTACATTTCTTGGGTATTTTAAAAATTTCCTATTCATAAATTTTGGTATTTCCTCCTCTATGAACCGGACTACAAATTCGTAAAGCTCTCAAAAACATTAAAGAGAAACGACAGTTTGACTCTATCTTGATGCGGGGGAATAATATGGGAAAAGGAACAGTTTTTTTTGTGGTTTTTTTGTAAATTTTAAATTTGAATTTTTATTACCCTTAATAAAAAAAACATCTAGAAAAGGCAATGAGTTATTTTCTTCAAACTCAACAGTAAAGTTTATAGAATGGGCTAAGCTATTTAATTTTCCAAGAAAAATGGTGTTATATCTACATTTTTGGGCATAAGACACAAAATTCATCAACATATCTGAACCATTTAGCTCTATTAGGGAGGATTGTGTTAAGCAACCTTGTTTCAAAAAATTCCATGTATAGGTTACTAAGAACAGGTGAAAGAGGATTTCCCATTGCCATACCAAACTTCTGAGTGTAAAACTTATCATTAAATACAAATTTTGCATCAACAATGCAAAGTTTAATAAGTTTAATGATAGTAGGAACTGGCAATGGTAAATCATAGTTAACGAGTTCTTCAGATAAGAAACTTAATAAATCATCAACAGGAACTTTCGTAAACAAGGAAGTAACATCAAAACTAACCATGTTAAAATCATTTAAGTCAGTCAAGGAGCTTAATTTATCAACCAAGTCTATGTTGTTTTTAACATTAAAGTTAGAAATTTTGCCAACAATAGGGCTCAAAATATCAACAAGCCATTTGGATAATTTATATGAAACTGACCCTATATGAAACTGACCCAGGGAATCCAGTCAGACCAATTATTAGCTCCATAGGGTCAGTTTCATATAAATTATCCAAATGGCTTGTTGATATTTTGAGCCCTACTGTTGGCAAAATTTCTAACTTTAATGTTAAAAACAACATAGACTTGGTTGATAAATTAAGCTCCTTGACTGACTTAAATGATTTTACCATGGTTAGTTTTGATGTTACTTCCTTGTTTACGAAAGTTCCTGTTGATGATTTATTAAGTTTCTTATCTGAAGAACTCGTTAACTATGATTTACCATTGCCAGTTCCTACTATCATTAAACTTATTAAACTTTGCATTGTTGATGCAAAATTTGTATTTAATGATAAGTTTTACACTCAGAAGTTTGGTATGGCAATGGGAAATCCTCTTTCACCTGTTCTTAGTAACCTATACATGGAATTTTTTGAAACAAGGTTGCTTAACACAATCCTCCCTAATAGAGCTAAATGGTTCAGATATGTTGATGATATTTTGTGTCTTATGCCCAAAAATGTAGATATACACCATTTTCTTGGAAAATTAAATAGCTTAGCCCATTCTATAAACTTTACTGTTGAGTTTGAAGAAAATAACTCATTGCCTTTTCTAGATGTTTTAATTATTAAGGTAATAATGAATTCAAATTTAAAATTTACAGAAAACCTACAAATAACTGTTCCTATGTCCACTATTATTCCTCGCATCAAGATAGAGTCAAACTGTCTGTTTTCTCATCAATGTTTTTGAGAGCTTTACGAATTTGTAGTCCTGAGTTCATAGATGAGGAAATATCCAAAATTTATGAAATAGGTAATGATTAGAATACCCAAGAAATGTAATTGATAAATCTTTTAAAGTTGCTAGGAACACTTTTATAATCCAAAAAAGGGCAACCAGCCTTATTCAACTAAAAATATGTTGGTTCTCCCTTACCATGAAAACTTGGTTGATATACCTTCTCTTCTTAAGACTTTTAATATTAAAGTTGTATTCAAAAATCTTGATACAGTAAAAAAAAACTTTTGATTAAGAATTCCCCCCAAAATGCATGATGGATGTGTCTATAAGATTCCTTGTAAAATTTGCGATAAAGTTTATTACGGTCAAACTGGTAAAAATCTCGAACTAAGATTAAAACAACATAAACATAGCATTAGAACTGGACAAGATTCCAATGCTCTATTTATTCATGTAAGAGATTTTAACCATCCAATTGATTTTCAAAAAGTTGAGAAAGTAGTATCAAGCAAGTCCATGGTCGACAGGAATATAATTGAATCTTGTTTCATAAAAAGCAGTTTTGACAATAATATGAATATTTCCTTTGGTTTATATAAATTAGATCCATTTATAATTAATAGAATTTGGGAAGAATTTAATAATACACTGGACAAATAATAATTTTTTAAATTTTCTTGGGTAGAATAGTTTGTTGGTGAGTTGTGCAAAGGACTTGTCCAGTTGGGTCGGCGCGCATCAGGTGTTTAACCGTTGTGGGATCTGATAGTGGGGTGTTGGCCAGACCCCTTATATACCTTCCTTGGATGCTTTACTTTCATAGTTCCTTGATAATGTGAGTAGTCACGAAAGCGCTTGGAATTTCTCTATTCTTTCAGAGTGGTTGTTTTGCATATTCTGAAATCACCTGTTTACTGTGATCTTATTGCATATATATATATATATATATATATATATATATATATATATATATATATATATTATTATATATATATATATATATATATATATATATATATATATATATTATATATAATTATATATATATATATATATATATATATATACATAGTGAAGGTTCTAATTGCGTTTTGGGCTGTGTAGGCGCCAAGATGTCATCTTTGTTGAAAAAAAGTACAATAGTTTCGATGTGATAACTTGCAACTGTCACTTGTTATTGCCTTCACATCTTCAGTGCTAATACTGAGCTGCATTACAAACATGACACACGCTCTACTGTTCTGCTTGCATTCACCTTATGTGATACAGGGATACGTTTCTTGAATCATTAAGGTAGAGGGTGCTGTGATTATGTGATACAGGGATATATTTCTAGGGTCTGGCAGCGACTGCTGTACATATATATCTCAGTTACATATTTACAGCTGCAGGAAGAGCAGCTGGCTGCTAGGTTGCCTCATCAACCATATAAATTTCCCTATATATAAATTTCTAGATATAAATATTTTATTTTACCTCTCATTTCTCATCCCAGACAGTCTGAATTTGTATCATGTTTTATAATGAGAAACAATGTTGTATTATGTTGGTAGAATTACCGACAAGTGCAAGTAATGTGACATTTGATTGTAGCGACATTGTTTACGTACTGTAAGTGAGACACAACTTTCCTTTTACAGATTTATTAGACCTAGCTACTACTAAAGTGCAGATACTCGAGATCCGTCAAGTGTTGAGTGGAAGAGACACTCTGGGCGAAGACCAGAACACGGTGGTGGTCATAGAGCCCGAGGAGGACATTGATGTGCTATACTGGGAGCTACGACAACAACACCGGGACCCGAATTATGGACCCACTTACACACTTACTGTCAACGATACTTACCAGAAGGGTTCAACAGCCGGAATCGAATTTGAGGATAACCTTGTGGAGTCCTCGTACATCTTCCTTGTTGCCTATTCAGACAGTAATATTGTAATAGCTATTGGAATAGCAGCCATAAATGTTACGTGTAAGTAGAGTGATGGTCATGTTAGAGTTTCTGGTTAAGATGATAATACAGTTTGTGGGGTGTACAATAAACTAGTCCCCCAGAACAAACACTGGGTGTACAATAAACTATTCTCGCACACGATGTACATGAGGTGAACAATAAACTAGCCACTAACAGAATGAACACGGTATGCACAATAAACTAATCTCTCAGGACAAACACAGGGTGTACAATAAACTATTAACTCACAGAATGAACACGGGGTGCTCAATAAACTATTAACTCACAGAATGAACACGGGGTGCACAATAAACTAGAAACTCACAAAATGAACACGGGGTGCACAATAAACTAGTAGCTCACAGAATGAACACGGGGTGCACAATAAACTATTAACTCACACAATGAACACGGGTTGCACAATAAACTATTAACTCACACAATGAACACGGGGTGCACAATAAACTAGTAACTCACAGAATGAACACGGGGTGCACAATAAACTAGTAACTCACAGAATGAACACGGGGTGCACAATAAACTAGCCACTCACGGAATAAACAGCGGCTCCACAGTAACGAGAAATCAATAAGACTCTTCTACAGTCTGCTAGGTTTAACTTAACTCTGCCTGAGTGACGTTCTCACAGACCTGATGAAGGTTAAGTTTTTATAACCTGCCACTGCTTCACACACACTCTTATAACCCACCATTGCTCCGCACACTGTTATAACCTGCCACTGCTTCACACACACTCTTATAACCCACCATTGCTCCGCACACTGTTATAACCTGCCACTGCTTCACACACACTCTTATAACCCACCATTGCTCCGCACACTGTTATAACCTGCCACTGCTCCACACACTGTTATAACCTGCCACTGCTCCGCACACTGTTATAACCTGCCACTGCTCCACACACTGTTATAACCTGCCACTGCTCCGCACACTGTTATAACCTGCCACTGCTCCACACACTCTCATAACCTGCCACTGCTCCAAACACTCTTATAACCTGCCACTGCTCCAACACACATTTGTAACCTGCCACTGCTGCCCACACTCTTATAACCTGCCACTACTCCACATACTCATATAACCTGCAACTGCTGCATACACTGTTATAACCTGGCACTTTTCCACACACTCATATAACCTGCCACTTCTCTACATACTCTTATAACCTGCCACTACTCCACACACTCTTATAACCTGTCACTCTTCCACACACACTTATAACCTGCCATTGTTCCACACACTCATATAACCTGCTACTGATCCACACACTCATATAACCTGCCACTTCTCTATATACTCTTATAACCTGCCACTGCTCCACAAACTCTTATAACCTGACACTGCTTCACACACACTTATAACCTGCCACTGCTCCACACAATCATATAACCTGCCACTGCTCCACACACTCATATAAAATGCCACTGATGCACACACTGTCAAAACCTGTCACTGCTCCACACGCTCTTATAACCTGCCACTGCACCACACACTCTTATAACCTGTGACTGCTCCACACACACTTATAACCTGGCACTGTTGCACACTGTTATAACCTGCAACTGCTGCACACACTCTTATAACCTGCCACTGCTCCAGACACTCTTATAACCTTTCACAGCTCCACTCACTCTTATAACCTGCCACTTCTCCACACACTCTGATAACCTACCACTGCTGACCACACTCTTATAACCTTCCACTGCTCCACACACTCTTATAACCTGACTCTCCTCCACATACTCTTATAACCTGCCACTGCTGCATACACTGTTATAACCTGCCACTGCTGCACACACTCTTATAACCTACCACTGCACTACATACTCTCATAACCTGCCACTGCTCCACACACTCTTATAACCTGTTACTGCTCCACATACTCTTATAACCTCCAACTGCTGCACACACTATTATAACCTGCCACTGCTCCACACACTCTTATAACCTGTCACTGCTACTCACATTGTTATAACCTGCCTTTTCTGCACACAGTTACAACCTGCCACTGGTCAACACACTCTCTAAACCTGTCACAGCTGCACACTCTTACAATCTGCCACTGCTGCACACACTGTTTTAACCTGCCACTGCTCCACACTCTCTTATAACCTGCCACTGTTACACACACTTTTATAACCTGCCATTGCTCCACACACACTTATAAACTGCCACTGCCCCACACACTCTCATAACCTGCCCCTGCTGTACACACTGTTATAACGTGCCACAGCTCCACACACTCTCATAACCTGCCACTGCTCTACACACTCTCATAACCTGCCACTGCTCCACAAACTCTTATAACATGCCACTGCTGCACACACTGTTATAGCCTGCCACTATTCCACACACTTTTATAAACTGCAACTGCTCCACACACTCTCATACCCTACCACTGCTCTACACACTCGCATAACCTGCCACTGCTGCGCACACTGTTATAGCCTGCCTCTATTCCACACACTCCTATAAACTGCCTCTGCTCCACACACTTTTAAAACCTGCCACTGCTCCACCTGCTCTTATAACCTGCCACTGCTTCACACACTCTTGTAACCTGCCACTGCTGTACACACTCTTATAACCTGCCACTGATGCTCGCACTTTTATATACTACCACTGCCCCACACACTGTTATTACCTGCCACTGCTGCACACGCTCCTATAACCTCCCACTGCTATACATACTCTTATAACCTGCCACTGCTGCACACACACTGTTGTAACCTGCTACTTCTGCACAAACTCTTATAAACTGTCACTGCTCCACTCAATCTTATAACCTGCCACTGCTGCACAAACTCTTGTATCCTGCCACTTCTGCATACACTCTTATAACCTGCCAGTTCTACACACACTTTTATATCCTGCCAATGCTGCACACACTCTTATAACCTGACACTGCTGCACACACTTAAACTGCCACTGTTGCACACACTCATAACCCGCCACTGCTCTACTCACTCTCATAACCTGCCGCTGCTGCACACACTCTTGTAACCTGCCACTGCTCTACACACTCTTATAACCTGCCACTGCTCCACAGACTCTTATAACATGCCACTTCTGCACACACTGTTATAGCCTGCCACTGTTCCACACGCTTTTGTAACCTGCAACTGCTCCACACACTCTTATAACCTGCCACTTCTCTACATACTCTTATAATCTGTTACTGCTCCACACACTTTTATAACCTGCCACTGCTCCAAACACTCTTATAATCTGTTACTGCTCCAAACACTCTTATCACCTTCCACTGCTCCACACACTCTTGTAACCTGCCACTGCTGCCCACACTCTTACAACCTGCCACTTCTCTACATAATCTTTTAACTTACCACTGATCCACACACTCTTGTAACCTGCCACTGCTGCCCACACTCTTACAACCTGCCACTTCTCTACATAATCTTTTAACTTACCACTGATCCACACACTCTCATAACCTGCCACTGCTCCGCGCACTCTTATAACCTGCCACTGCTCCAAACACTCTTATAACCTGTCACTGCTCCAAACACTCTTATAATCTTCCACTGCTCCACACACTGTTATAACCTGGCTCTGCTGCACACATTGTTATAACCTGCCACTGCTCCACACACTCTTATAACCTGCCACTGCTCCAAACACTCTTATAACCTGCCACTGCTCCACACACTTTTGTAACCTGCCACTGCTGCCCACACTCTTATAACCTGCCACTGCTCCACATGCTCTTACAACCTGTAACTGCTGCATACACTGTTATCATCTGCCACTGATCCACACACTCATATAACCTGCCAATTCTCTACATACTCTTATAACCTTCCACTGCTCCAATCACTCTTATAACCTGTCACTGCTCCGCACACACTTATAACCTGCCATTGCTCCACACACTCACATAACTTGCCACTGCTCCACACACTCATATAACCTGCCACTTCTGTACATACTGCTATAACCTGCCACTGCTCCACACACTCTTATAACCTGTCACTGCTCCACACACACTTATAACCTGCCACTGCCCCCACTCACTCATATAACCTGCCACTGCTGCACACACTGTTAAAACCTGCCACTGCTCCACACATTCCTATAACCTGCCATTGCTCCACACACTCTTATAATCTGTGACTGCTCCACACACACTTATAAGCTTCCACTGCTCCACACACTCTTATAACCTGGAACTGCCGCACACACACTGTTACAACCTGCCACTGCTGCACACGCTCTTATAACCTGCCACTGCTCCACACACTCTTATAACCTTCCACTGCTCCACACACTCTTATAACCTGTCACTGCCCCACACACTCTGATAACTTGCCACTGCTACCCACACTCTTATAACCTTCCACTGCTCCACACACTCTTATAACCTGACTCTCCTCCACATACTCTTATAACCTGCCACTGCTGCATACACTGTTATAACCTGCCACTGCTGCACACACTCTTATAACCTACCACTATTGCACACACACTGCTATAACCTGCCACTGCTCCACACACTCTTATAACCTTCCACTGCTCTACATACTCTAATAACCAGCTACTGCTAAACACACTCTTATAACCTGCCACTGCTCCACATACTCTTATAACCTGCAACTGCTGCATACACTGTTATAACCTTCCACTGCTGCACACACTATTATAACCTGCCACTCCTTCACACACTCTCATGACCTGCCTCTGCTTATCACACTCTTATAACCTGCCACTGCTCCACACACTCTTATAACCTGCCACTCCTTCACAAACTCTCATAACCTACCACTGCTCCACACTCTTATAATCTGTCACTACTATACATGCTCTCATAACCTGCCACTGCTGTTCACATTGTTATAACCTGCCTTTTCTGCACACAGTTATAACCTGCCACTGCTCCACACACTCTTATAACCCACCACTGCTGCACACACTCATATAACCTGCCACTCGTTCACACACTCTTACAACCTGCAACTTCTCCAAACACTCCTATATCCTGC